AAATGTTTGCAGTATGAGTTACCGTCTCTGTCGTTTGGCAAGGCAAGCAAGATAGAGAAGGAAAAGGAAAACTACAGTGGGCTGACTAATGTTTTTTTTAAATGCCAACCAACAGAAACAGCTGTTAATTGAAAGTGTCTACAAATTTGATTTTTTTTTCTGAAATGTTTGCTTAGGAAGTGGCACAAGGCTGACATTCTTTGTCAGAGGTCTGTGTTTGCATGTGTTTTCATTTTGTGGCTACCTTACAGCGAATTAGACCCTTGATCTGATTATACCTGTATTGCCTATTGTGACTGGTCAAAGACTGGTCTCAGACAGAAAGCAAAATAAATTAGTAGTAGTACCAGCAAGAGTGTATCATGGCTGGAATAATTGCTGCATCAGTTGATGGTGATTTTTTTTTTAGCTTAAACAAATTTGGGTGGTGGCTTGGATTATAATTTATGCAGTGGCCAGGAAAAAAGCTTACCGTATTTGCTTATTTATGGTACTGGTTTTGCTGAAACATGACTTATTTCCTTAAATCATTTCTAATGAAAATGCTAACTGGGAATTTTGTAAGAAGCCTAGAGATTTCTAGGCTGGTAGAGGAGCAATTTTGCTCTTTCCCAAAACTATTGGACGTTGAATTTGTTTTAGGTTTTGTTTCTTTAAAAAATTAACAATAATGTCTCAATGTGCTTTAAGTAGCTCTGTATTGCCAAGCAAGATGGGGAATAATATTCTTAAAATGGCCTTGCTGCCTATTTATACTGTCTTAGCCTTATTAAATTAGAACTTTTCAAACATAGATATTTAGAAAAGTGTGCCTGAAATCAATATTCTCATTTATTTGAGCTCAGTGTCCTTGTTGCACATTAGGGCCTTCGGTCACTTTCTCTTCTCTTGAATCATCTTCAGGTTATTGGGTTGGTAACTAGAAATTCTAGAGCTGGAAACTGAATTGAACAAAACGGAAAAGGGCAGAAAGAGGAAGAATATTGAGCCAGTGTGACTCATCCCTTAGAAATGCGGGCTTCCTTCCTTTTGAGGTTTAAGAATGTCCAGGCTTAAGTAGGGCAGGGGCTTCCAGGAAGTTAAGGAGAATTTGGAGTCAGATGTTGCCATCTGCACAATTTCCGCTTTTCCGTCGCTCTTACCTCCCTTCTATTCCACCCACCCTATTTACTCTTGGGAATTTTTGCTTCCGGCCTGAATTTGTCCTAGAAGCAATTCTGACAAATTCAGATTAACTGAAATTGCTAAGGTTACTTGGCTGAGGGAGCCTGCGGGGAGGATGTTCCCCGTCTTCTTCTATATTGGGGAGGGGGGGCAGGGCATGAGAGGTGAAATTAGTAAATAATATAGGAAATTCTGTGTGTTTAGGTAAATGTTATTTTGTTGTGGTTGAAGCATTTTATTCTGCTATGAAGGCTTAAAACTTGTTTTCCCATTTTTGTCTTATTCTATTTTTCTTTTTGTCCTTGCTTTTTTTTTTCCTGGGGCCTCATAAATCTCACATGCGGAGAGACCAGTTTAGTTCCTTGCTCAGTTCATTCAGTGATCGTCCAAAGTTACAATGGCACTGGAAAAAGCAGCCTATGGCTGTTTTTCACACTTACGACCAATGCAACATCCCTGCGGTCATAGAATCAAAATTCAGATGCTTGGTAACTGACTCCTATTTATGATAGTTGCAACGTCTCTGGGTCTTCTGCAAACATCTGACAAGCAAAGTCAATGGGGAAGGCAGATTCTTTTAACAACCATGTCACTATCTTAACAACTTCAGTGATTCACTTAGCAACAGTGGCAGGAAAGGTCATAAAAATGGGGCAAGATTCACTTAAGAAATATCTCACTTAGTAACATACACTTTTAGGCTCAACTGTAGTTGTGGGTCAAGGACTAACTGTACAATGACCTTAGGCCTTTTATAACACGTTTTGAAGCCTACTTCACGAGGTCATTGGAAAGATATAAATAAGGAAGATTCTGTGCCTCCGTGGGTGTTTTTGAGGAAAAGCAGCTATAAAATAAATAAATGTCCGAGGTTTTGGATCTTGATCCTGCAGACTGATGCAAGTAAACGCTGCCAAAATTGTATCCTTAACCGAGATGTCTGCTAGTGTTTTGACCAAAGAAACCTGGCTGGAAAAAAGCTGCATTGGATAAAATGTAAATGGAGGAAGATAGCTTGATTTTTCTCCCTCCCCACTCCAATGTTTCCAAATCTTACATTGCCTGGGAAATGTCAGTTTTCCTTGAGAAAGCAGCAAATGCAGCATGGCTGACTGGGGAATTCTGGGAATTAAAGCCCACAAATCTTTAAAGTTGCTGAAGTTGGACATCCCTACAGTAGGAAAGTATTTGGCAGGGTGGGCTGCTTCCTATCTCTTCTCATGTCTCAGAATATCTCCTTTGCCAGTTGCCACTGCTAAAATACAAGGCAGATTGACTTTTGTTCTGATCCTGAGTAAGAAAATCATCTTCTGTTGTTCAGCCACAACTTTTGTTCTGTTTTCTTCTGTTTACCTGTAAGCCAGAGAAAACATTGAGTCTTTCAGATTTACAAGCCTTGATCCAATTGCTTTTAAAGACAGAAATGAAGAATGTAGCATCTAAAGTGCCATATTGCGCTTTTTATTTTACTTGCTTTTAAAGTTTCTCTGATAAAGAGCTATGTAGAATTTCTTATTTTTTTCTTTCTCCTATTTATCAATATGATAAGTTAATTTTTGAAGCAGGTCTGGTTTTTCCCCGCTTCTCTTGAAGACTTAAAGCTAGCTTGGGGGAGAACAATTGGTTTGACCAAATTCTTAAAGTCCTAAAGTAAGGGCCTTTAATCCAAAATATGGATAATGTTGTGAGACCTGGTTTTTAGATTCATGCAAACCACGAATAGGAACAGGGGCGATGCCTT